CACCCACACGCCACCCCCAGCCGCCGCCGGCCGCCGGGGGCTGGCCCAGGCCGTCGCCAAGGCCACCTCCGTCGCACAGGCCAAGGATGGCGGCTCCGCCAACGTGCAGTCGCGCTCCCAGGCCACTTCCACCGGCCAGCCCACCTCGTCCGAGGTTACAGGCGTCGGCATCGCCGGTGCCGGCCAGACCGCCAACGTGGACTGCTCCCTGGCCGCCAAGGACGAGAAGATCGCGAAGATCTGCGCCAACCTCGGGCAGGGGCAGGCCGAGGCAACCACCAAGGGTGGGGGCGCAGGTGGGGCCATTGCATGTGCCGCATGTGACGAGGCCTCAATTGATTGGTGGCGCCCTGCTGGCTGCCCGAGCGCATTTTACAGTGGATTGACCTGGGAAGGGGTCTCCGCAGTTGATGCCAGACCACGGCAGGGCACGCCTCCATGGGTGTGCCTGCAATACCCGATCGCCGCTGGCCCCGGCGCCGGCAGAGCAGTACGGGCGGGGATGTGGGGGCAGCCCGAAGGGGCGCGACTGGCCCACCAGGGGCGCGAGATGGCCGTGCGGCGCAACCACTCAACGATCACTGCTCGTATTGACTGGCAGTCAACACCTGCGCTCCGTCAGGCCCATGCGCTTTCCACACCACCACCCCCCTCCAACCGGCAGGAGCCGCCGCAGGCGGCCAGGCCGGCGCCCAGGGGGCGGGTGCCGCCGCCGGCGCGGGCGCCGGCGCGGCCGCTTACAGCGGCGTGAGCTGGGACGCGGCGCCCAACTGCACCGCCGACGCGTCCAAGGCTGAGACCAAGGTCGTGTACGACTCCCTCGGCCGCCCCTGGGGCTTTGAGGACAACCGCAGCTGCGCGTTCAGGTGTGGGCGCACTATCGACTGCTGGTCAGTCGCATGGGGCCGGGCTTGGCGCTGCGGGGTCGGGGCGAGCGGCTTGCTTGATCAAGCCAGCCGCTTGCTTGATCACTCCTGGAGGGGGGGGAGGCCAGGGCCGCCCAGCTGGGGGGCGTCGCTGGCATTGTAGGGGCCCCTCTGTTCGCCACCGCCTCCTTGCTCACCCGCCCGATCGAGCGCGCGCCACTAATAACGCCGCTCGGCTCTCCTTGATTGCGCCTGTGTATGTAGTGGCAAGGTTGGACGCCACTAGTCCCTGCTGCCCCCATCACCTCACCCCCACTCCTCCAACAACAGGAACGCCCCCCTCAAGCCCCCCACCGCTTCTGCTGCCGGCGCCGGCGAGGCAGGCGTTGGCGGCGCCGGCGGCGCGGCCGGCGCCGGTGGTGGCGGCCAGGGCGCCGCCAAAGGCGAGGCCGCTGCCGGTGCCGGTGCCAAGGCCGGCGCTGAAGCCGGCGCCAAGTCTGGGGCCGCGGCCGGTGCGCAAGCCGGCGCGCAGGCCGGCGCCGAGGCGGGCAAGCAGGCCGCCGCTCAGGCCACTGCTACTGCTCAGGTGCGCGTGCGTGTGTACAGCAGGGGCGACCGGCTGATAACAGGGGCGGGCTCAGCGCTCGCTCCTGCTGTCGCGTGCACTGAGTCGCGTCACCAGTGTCCTCGTGTGCGATGTGCATGTGCCTCCAAAGCGTAGCCCACCCGCACAAGGCAAACCTCCTCTGTTGTGACAGGGCCATCCCGCCTCCCTTGTGATGTTTAGTGTGAAATGCCCTCGCGCCAGGGCCGCGCTTCCATCCCTCACCACCACTGAACGCCCCCGCCCGCCGCAGGCCCAGTCTGGCCGCAAGTGAGGAGCGCTCCGCAGCGCCGCAGGACCCGCCGCGGACGACAGTGCTCCGCCCCAGCACGCCGCAGCCCAAGAGAACACAACCCCACGCCCGCCCGTCGCTGCACGCTGCACCGTCGCCGAGCTGACTCAGCAGCGGCTGCAGATCAAAACGCTGCTTTGGCGCGCGAGATCGCCACTCGTCGCTTGCCCCATCCAAGCGCGGCGGGCGATTTGTGATGCTTGTGCACTTTGTGGAGTGTGTGCATTGCATGTGGCATGTATCCAGCCGAGTGGGCCGAGCATCGAGCCCTTGCGCGGTTTGCAGCGAGCGAAATAACCGACAGCTTTCGCGATGAGTCAGCGTGGGGGGTACAATAGTGAGGTTTGAGCGACGCGCACGCGCGCCCCCGTCGTCAATAATGCCTGCATGCAACCCAAATTTCGATTCCGCCGCAATGCACCTTCGCGCCCGCCTGTCGGGGCGTGGGTCCGCTGAGGCCACGTCATAGTGCGCCCCTCGACCGTGTCCCAAGGTATTGCTGCTTGCTCGGGTGAAACCACCGCGAAAGCCCCATTGCCAGGCCTGCTCGAGCGCCGTAGGCACTTCAGTCAGACAGCCAGCCGTCTGCAGTGACTGAGTTTTGACCGAGTAACAGGAAGTTGCGCCGTTCCTGCCCGACTCGCTCGTTGAGCGGCTGCAGGCTGTCTTAAAGAACCGCAACCAGCCGGTCGCGCCTCTACAATTGTGTGGCGTCATGTCAGTGGCGGTGCACCCGATGCAAAGCAGGCAACCCTGCCCAGCTGCGCTGCGCGGCTTTCCGGCGCGATCAGGTCACGGCCTTGAAGCACCGCGTGTAGCAAGCACGCCAAAAATGACAGCTGCCTAGGAGCTTCCAGGTATGCCAAGCTGCCCCTATCCCCTGTTCCAAGAAAAAAACAATGCAGCTCGAGGCAGCCTTTGGTTTTACAACATGAGTGGTGGTTTGCGGCGCTTGCCCGATGCTGCCCCGCCGTCGGCGGCCCGTCGGCGGGCGGCGCCCGAGGGCGGCAGCGGCCGGGGACGTGAGAAGGGTGGCCCGACCGGCGGGGACGGTCACTCGTTGCTGCTCAGGGCCTCCTGCGATCAGTGCGCGAGGACAGGTTGGGAGGGGGGCAGGAATTGAGGCGGGCTCGGGTGCAACACTCTGCCGGCACAGACGCTCCAAAGGGCTTGCGCAGCACACGCACGTAGGCACGTGCCTACGTGCTCACGTGCGCACAGACACACACACGCTTACACGCACACACGAAAGCACACACACCTAAACAATGGCACACACACTGTCGGCTCATTGCGAGCGCACGCCCAAACCCTCCAACCCAACACGTTCTTCGACACACAAACCCCCACCAGCTTGGCGGCGGCGGCGGCCTTGACGGCGGCGGCCTTGTTCTTGAACACGGCGTCGTCGCCCCCGATGATGTGGTCAATAAGACCGTAGTCCCTCGCCTCGATAGGGGACATGTACCTGCCAGCCAGAGGTTTTGTCGAGCCGGTTGCGTTTCAGGGCGGAGGCGCCGCCACGGAGGGCGAAACGGGGGGCGCCCGGGCCGGAGGTGAAAGCTACACGAGAGCCCTAGCCCTGCCCCCTGGGCAAGCCGAGCCTGCTGCGTCCCGCCGACCCTGAGGCAAGCAACACATATCCGCATGCGGCCGCTGGCCGCGGGCGTAGCCGCCTCCGCACCCCTGTCCCTGTTCACGTCGTCACATAAGCCGAGACGAGCCCCCAGGCAAGGAAGCTCGTAGCGTCCCCCCCCCCACCCATCCACATC